ATAACGATCCGCAAGGACGAAACCCTTGTGGTATAGGGTCAAAATGGTCTGATCAGGGTGACCATCACCAAGCTCAGGTGCTTGGTAGAGGACTGGGAGGCGCAACGGTTTGCTCTGGCAGCCTATCATCTGTCGTGGCATCCCCCTCCTCCCCCTCGCCGTCTGGGGTGACTTCCTTCTTTGCCTTCCCAACATCGGCTTCCATGGTGTCCTCGTCGTCACTCACCAGGTTGACTAGGGCCCTGTTGTCAGGGATTCTGATGGCCTCCCAGTTTAGCTCGACGAAGAACTTCTGGGCAAACTCCCAGTCGCCGCTTGTGTCAGGCATGATGGCAACCCGAGGAGTAGAAGGCCCGGCTTTAGAGGGACCGGCGCTGGTGGCGGTAGCAATGGAGGCAATCAAATCTTCTGGCTCATTGTCGGAGAGCTCGATGACACCCTGCGGCGGCGCGTTGGACTCCAGCTCCTCCGGGGGCCGGGGCAATGACCTCCTCGGTGCTCGTCGTGGCCTCTCCTTTCTCCTTCTTCATGATCGCAACCTCTTCTTGTGAGGGCACCACGGCCGAAGATGGAGTCAGGGTTTAAGCTGCAGGCAACGCCAGAGCGGGAGACGACGAGGCTGAGGGAGATGATAGGGGCGAGGCCTCAGCGGACCGCTCGGGCGAATCCCTGAGTAGCAGGCGAGGGATTTGAGGCGGCGAGCGACGGCCTTCGTCTTCATGACTGCAAATGTGGGGATGCTAAGTGGATCTAATCTAACACTCAGGTGCCCGCTTATAAAGCCAAGGCCAGGGTGATTGGGAGAGGTAGGCCAATAGTCACCCACTAACCGAAGCGACGCTTAATCGCATGCCACGCGTAATCCTCGGAAGTCGAGCCGGCGCGGCCACTTGAGTGCGTGACAACCACCGCCTGACTCAGACGGAGACCATGTTGACAAGACAAGACAACTCCAGAGTATGGCTTATTTTATTTTTACAGCTCATCGCCCAACTATGCGACCCTGTAACTTCTACCTGACCAGCTTCGTTCTCACGGGTATGAACTTGGGCTCTTGTGATAAAGTCCCAATTCCGAACACCCTAAAAGGCCCGAGTATAGGAAGGTTACCGAGTCTCACTTGACCAATAAGCTCGGGGGCTACTAACGATGCCATACTCCTAGGATTCCCGACTATCGGATATGCTGGCTACCGAATCCGTACCGAAGAAGGCCCGAAGGTTCACGACTCGCCTAATCAAGGAAGGATATGTGAAGATCACGCCAAGACTCCGACTAGGGCACGACTATGTAACTTGTAGGGCAAGTAAGCCTCGGATATAAATAGCTAGCTATCCACCCTGTTGTAATCATCGAAACTCTTATAGGCATAGCCATCTTGTAATCACCATCTTGCTATTCGACAAGATTATAATACAAGCAAGTAGCAATTGGATGTACAACTTTTACCCCCTTCCTGGGGGCCCGAACCAGTATAAATTCCGTGTCTCTACTGTGCTTGCTCTTTGCGTTAAGTGAATTCCTCCAAGAACTGAATATCTGCCGGTAAAAAACACTGACACTTCCTTTCTTCTCTAGAATTGGATCATCTAGTGTTCGAGTTACGGTTGGTGTTAGGATTTAGATCTATATTAACGACAGCAGCATAGATGGAAAGGAATAAGGGCGTAATGCTTTTGAGGATATATGTGTTCGACGGTCAACATGGTGGTATTACCAAGTGGAGGCCATGAGACAAGACGATGAGAGAACTATAAGCTGGGTGGTGGCGAATGACTAATACTCCCTCCGTCCCAAAATAAGTGATATTTTTGACTTTTTGATATCGTGTTTGACCATTCGTCTTATTCAACTTTGTTTGTGCAAATTATACAATAAATAAAATATTATTAAAGTATCTCTAATGATAAAATAAGTCATAACAAAACAGATAATATTTGTATAAAATTTTTGAATAAGACAAACGGTCAAACAAGATGTCTAAAAGTAAAAAAAAACGTCACTTATTTTGGGACGGAGGGAGTAAATAGGGTCAATAGTGTAGGTGAGCAAGTAGATTTGTTTGTGAAGGATGGGTGGTGAGAGAGAGGCATGCGACATGCAATGATATGTCTTAGCTAGCAAGATATGATTTCAGTGGTGGCATTAGTTACTGGTAGAGCAACGTCTAATGACGTGATATGTGGGTTGAAGGATTAGGATATCTTTTTTGGAGAAAATTTATTGTCATTTATAAAATATTCAAGACAATTAATATGTAGCCATATCTTGCTTTCTGTGGGCTGGATTGCCTAAACTACGCTTATTTGGCGTTCATAACCTTTTGTTGTCATGTGAGTGCTTACTTGAGTGATACCCGCACCTACTACTCTCCTTATATGTTCACCAACCAACCTTTGACCAACTCATTTCTCTCTCCCTTCCACCTCTCTGCTCAGATCCAAGGAGACTGACTTACTGGTGACCAAAGGTGAGCAACTGACAACGAGGTTAGAACACATCCTCCCCCTCCCCCCTCCTCATCCTCCTCCTCCCTCCCTCCCTCCCTTCCTTCCTTGTTTCTCTAGAATCGGAGCATCTAGTGTTCGAGTTACGATTGGCACTAGGATTTAGATCTAGATTAACAGCGGTGGCATAGATGGAATGGAATAAGGGGGTAGGGCTTTGAGGATAGATGTGTTTGGTGGTCAACATGGTGGTATTACCAAGTGGAGGCCGTGAGACAAGATGGTGACGGAACTATAAGCTGGGTGGTGGCAAACTACTGATAGATAGGTTAATAGTGCAGAGGAGCAAGTAGATTTGTTTGTGGACGATGGGTAGTGAGAGAGGCATGCTACATGGAATGGAGGCGAGGTCATCATCGACCATAGGTGATGGTAGTGGCTATGAGTGACATGGTTGATGGTGCCTACAACTTTTTCATTTAGTTGTTTGAGTGTAACATCTATACAGGCTTTTGCGTGTGTGACAACTAAAATGCCCCCTTGCATTCCATCTATACATTTCTAGGCACTCGATAGCTTAGCGGTGGGTGTCGACTAACATCATTTGGAAGCATATATAAGGTGTGACTTGCCAGGGTAGAAAGTCGGATAAAGGGGGAGAGAGCGATAAAGTTTTGTGGCGTATGTGAGGGATTTCAGATCAAATCTACCTTTTTGTTAATAGACTAGTTATGTTTCTCCTATGAGAACACTAGCAAGTCATTTATCTCTCCCTTTCCTACCTCCAGAGCACAGATCTCAAGAAACCAATGTGCTGCTAATTAGTGACAAGCAACTGACAAAGAGGTTAGACCTCTACCAGCACCGTCACCTCCTTTCTTCCTTAATTCCTTTGGGTTGAAGCTTGGTGATGTCGGGATTATGGTTAGGGTTTGGATTTGAGACGATGCTAAAGTTGGAAAGGAAAATGCGTGATGCTTGTAAGGAGGTATGTGCGGCAACCAACATGGTGGCGTGGCATCACCGACTGTGAGGCAAGTTGGTGAGGGCACTGATAGTTAGGTAGTGGAGAATGACCAGTGGAGATGGTCGGCGGTTGTGTGAGTAGGTAGTTCGGTTAGTGGAGGATGTAATAGGGGCAAGCAGGTGGATCGATTAGTGGGGGATAGGTGGGGACAAAAGTGGGTGGCATGGTATGGAGGTGAGGTATAGGCATCGGCCATGGGCAGTGATGGAGGCCAAGGTGATGCAATCGATGGGGACAATAGCTTTGTCATTTAGTTGTTTTGGGATTGCAAGCTTGCTCATGTTGTGTGCCAGCTAAAATGATCCCTTGGCCTTCCAATTCTACCTTTCTAGGCGCTCATAGCTTAATGTTGGGTTTTTAACTAGTGCCTATAAACAACATCTAAGGTGTGACGTCACAAGGTAGGGGTGGGAGAAAGGGGAAAGCCAACACCAAAGTTTTTGTGGAATGTGAGAGGAGTTTTGGAATATATCTATTTTTTTATCAATACACCTCTTATTTCTCCTAGGAGAATGCTATGGAGTCCTCATTTTTTAGAAGTATAGTTTGGTGAGGCTCTTATTCTCCGCCTTTTATGAGATTCTTCAATAAGGAAATATGGGTTGGGATTTGGGGGGTTGTATGCTCCGTGAGGTTTCCCCAAATTCTCAAGCATAATGGTATCACAAGTCAGAATCTAGAGAGGGAGACAGAGCGGGATATAAGAGAATGAAGCTAGATTTGGGTGAAAATAAGACTTCAGGTCAGGAGAGCCTAGCTAGTTAGTGTGAGACTAGTGGTGAAACATAGGGAGGCAAGGCTCTAGAGAAAAAGAGTCAAAGCGGTTGGGGGTCATTTGGGAGAGAAGACGGGTATGGTTTCATATATGTGGAGAGAATTTGAGCCATATGACCTTTATGTTCTGTGGCCGCACATCCGAAGTGTTTTGGCCCCCCTAAGCACAACTCCCAAGAGTCTAAATTTTAATCTCTATACCTATATTATTTGGAGAGACATTAAATGGATATTCTCTTTATGTACCTCTCGTGTGTTCTTGCGAACTCTTTGATTTTTGTTCCCTATACTCCAATAGTTAAATATAATTTTCCTTATATGAAAACATTCATGAGAAAACAACCTATATTCCATTTAAAAAGGCATGCAACCTCTCCAAAAGTGGACAGTGGAAAAGATAGGGAGTAGTTTAGGTAGTCTATTGGAGTTTTTGTTTTGTTTTTTAAAGTCTCTGTGATAAAGAGTCATGGAGAGAGTCTCTTAGATGCTCTAAAACACCCTAGTGTGGGCAACACAGGTCCTTATACTACTCTTAGAGATGTGCTATATATATGTTGTATTCTCTCTCTTTTTTTTGCTTTGCTTTTAGTGTTAATGTCTCAGGTTGACAACAATCACATTTGATATGTCTAAGTTTCGCTATTTGGAATGTCTGTGTTGCACACTGGTAAGCTGTCATAAGTGAATCTTACATTCCCATTTTCTGGGTCATTATGCAGTTTGTGATGGAGAAAGAAAACTCCAATCCCCCCATGGACCACCACTCAAAGGAGGAAGCCGTCATCCGTGATGCTATGGCCCCGGATGTACTGGAGGCGGTCGTCGGCGGACTCCGCACACCGAAGTTCGTGGACGGATCCAAGCAAGAAGCCGTCGTCCGCGATGCTGCTTCTACCTCGGCGGATACAGTGGAGACAGGCACACAGAACGCAATGATCTTCTGGGACGAGGTAGACGACGATGACTACTGGATTCAGCAGGAGGATGTGGATGTGGCACAGGTCGTCAATCCTTGGCTAGACTTCCTCATGGCCACAGTCGCACCCGAAACGGCGGCACTCCTCCGCACCATTCATGCCAACACCAACATTTTCAACGTTGGCGCCCATGTCAATGCTAATAACCAGTTTGCTGCCCAGACAAGGACTGAAGCATCAGCGACGGCGAGGCCGAGTGCTCCTGTCAACTCAACTATCTTCGCCGGTAGTACGGAGGAAGAGGACGGCAATGAGTGGTACAAGTCCATCGCCCGTGACGCTCAAAGGCTGGAGCAGATGGAGGAGCCAGAAATCCAGGAGATGTATTCCCCGCTGCAACTTCCCGGCAGGTCCGAGTCCGAGGCACCACCAAAGGAGGAGCACTGCGGTCACAAGCGTCCCTCTGCCGGCGAAGACGGACGCGAGCTGACCCTGGAAGACTACTGCAAGATATGGGGCGTCCACCCATCCGAGCTTGACCCAGACGAACCTGGCCCGTCGACGAAGAGGCAGAGCAGGGTGCCCCCTCTCACGGACGACGAGGTCGCCAAGTTCGACTGCGGCATCTGCCTGGAGACGCTCCCCATCCTGGACCTCTTCCACGGCATGCAGTGCGACCACAAGTTCTGCGCGCAGTGCATGGCCACCTACATCGAGGGCAGGATCCGCGACGGCGGCGTCTCCATCCTGTGCCCCGACCCGGCGTGCAAGGAAGCAGCTGGAGAGGGCGGCAACAATGGCGGCGGCGTCCTGAACCCGGAGCACTGCAAGAAGTCCATCGACTTCGCCGCCTTCTGCAGCTGGGGTGACCGGCTCACCGAGAAGGCCATCCCGCAGGACCAGCGCGTCTACTGCCCGAACCCCAGGTGCGGGCTCATGCTTGAGAGGACCTTGGGCGCCAATAAGGCACCGTGCAAGGCGCCGTGCCCGGCGTGCAACCACCCCATGTGCACGACGTGCGGCTTGGGCTGGGTCATCGATGGCCGTGATGATGACCACCACGACTGTGACGAGGGGAAAGGGGCAGCGCTCGTCAAGGAGCTTGCAGCCCGGCGCCGCTGGAAGCAGTGCCCCAGTTGTAAGATTGTGGTCGAGAGGATCATGGGGTGCGATACTATGCACTGCAGGTATATATATTGGACACTTCTCGCGTTTTATTTCCTGTCTCAGTTTCTTCTTGTGTTTAATCCTCACTCAGATCTCCTCTGCTCCATCACGAACAGCTAGCTTTCCTTTTACTATAGCGGTTTCTGAAGTTTTATCATATACGGAGTAGGCTTGTTTTGTTGCAATTCAACCCGTCACAATCCATTTATTGGGATGAATCGGAGCCACCACATTCTTTTTCGTGACCATGCCGTCACATTTTTCATTAAGCAGAAGCAGAGTTTGCTACAACCTTAGCTGGTCACGGTAATCCCTCGATTACCGACACCAGCGATGGAGCCACCCATTCTGTCCGATACATATGAATTAGAATGGATTATAGTGCAGTCAAACAAGGCCTATAGGTTTCAATGGAGCGGTCTTACTAGTAGTATATTTGTGCCTCTGTTATTACAAGATAGTAGAGCGGTTTCTGAAGTTCTACCATGTGAATTATCACATCATGTCACCTGACCACGGGTGCTTAATACTAGCATTTTCAGATGAGAGAATTCCTTATTTGACACCAGACAAATGACCCGTTTCTTTCTTGGCTTTCAAAAATTTTTCGTTCTCTATTTGACACCGAGTTCAACTTTCATTCCTTACGTGACACTCCGTTGCATTTTCCATCCGGCCACCGTTAACTGCGCTGTGAAAAGACGATTTTGCTCCTGTGAGCCCCACCACCCTTCTCCCTCCTCTCCTCCTCCAGGCCGTCGTGTCCTCCCCCAGTCCGCGGCCGCGCCACCTGAGGAGAAGGCTGCCGGCCGTCCCCGCCACCCATGGGCCCGCCGAGCCCATCCACGGGCAGCCGTCGACGCTCGCTGGATCCGCCGTCGGGGTGCATCCTCCACCGTCGAGCTGAATCCGGCTTCCCCACCAACAGATCCAGCCGCTGCCTCGCCTGTGCCCGCCCTCGATTTGCCGCCGGCGAGCTCGCCAGATCCGTGGGTGGATTCGCGCGCCCCGAGGCCGGATCCGCTCGCCCTGAGGCCAGATCCGTGAGCCCCGAGGCCGGATCTCGCCGGACTCCACCGTCGTCGTCGTGGCTGCCTGCTCCACCGCGCCACCGTCGTCGCCGCTTCTTGTCCACCGCCGGTCGCCATCGAGGAGAGGGAGGAGTGCGGAAGGGAGGGGCGCCGCCGCGCCTAGGGAAGGGAGGAGCGCCGCCGCGCCATGGGAAGGGATGACCACTGCCGTGCTCGGGAGGGAGAGGGGCTCGGAATGGAGAGTTGGAGGGAGAGAGAGTGGAGAGAGGGAAAGAGTGGAGGGCGCTATCGGGAGGGACGGGCGCGCCTTCAGCTGCGCGACTGCGGGGAGACGGAGGGAGTGAGGCGACTGCCTGGAGGAGGAGAGGAGGGAGAAGGGTGGTGGGGCCCATAGGGGCAAAATCGTCTTTTCACAGCGCAGTTAACAGTGGCCGGATGAAAAATGCAACGGAGTGTCATGTAAGGAATGAAAGTTGAACTCGGTATCAAATAGGGAACGGAATTTTTTGAGGGCCAAGAAAGGAACATGTCGTTTGTCTGGTGTCAAATAAGGAATTCTCTCTTTTCAGATCAATATCTTATCCAATTTCAGTACTATATTTGCTGTTTTGGATTTGTATAGCTTCTCATACATGTTTCAACGTTAGGATATTTTGATTCATGTAGCTTATAGCTTCCTGTAAATTTGGTTAATTGTTTGAAACTATCAACCCGCTAGCAAAGTTGATTTTGCATATGTTTAACAGATAGTAGGATATTTTTAGATACATGCATGCAAAAATATAATTGTCATTTGTGGTTCATAAAAAAGTAAAGATTGTGCCTGGAATTTAACACAAAATTTGCAGTATTTGCACTGGAAACAGCTCTAGAATTATAACTTATCATGTTTTACTTGCTGTTTCATTTTCTTGTGTTTACTATTCAGTTCTCCTTTACTACTCCATATCACGTACAACTTTGTTTTAAACAACGTTAAGAATTTGGTCAAGTCATTCCTTATCTAATAGGGCGGCTTCTGAAAATTTTACCATATGGATCTTCAGGGGAAAAAAGATCGCTTTATTCATGACAAGCCATACTATCTATATTTATGACTATATATGACAGACCTGTTCGTATGATGTTCCAGTCTTTGTATGCTTGGCCCAATGCATGGTAATGCTAATCTTAAACGTCTTGCACGGTGTTTCTGACGCCATTGGCATGCAGATGCGGAAGTCTCTTCTGTTACAAATGCGGGCGCCCGATGGCCCCGATGGAAGCCGGGCTGGACGAAGAAGCCGAGCTGTGCCGATGCCGCCACAACGTCTTTCGTCTCCGCGTCCCCCGCCCCCAGCCCGGAGCTCATCAGACAAACCTAAACCTCAAATAGAGCTGCGCCGCCGGCCTACATCGACTCGCCGGAGCCAAAGAGATCGATGGAAGGGCAGCCGACGTGCACCAGAAGTCTGACGGATTTGTGCCGGCTTCGTCGTTATTGAACTTTAAAGTTGCTTCGTCGTCCATGTCATGTTGTGGGCTTGCCGGACTAGCTAGCTAGCAGGCCTGTTTATCTGTGTTTAATTTCAGCACCTTTTCCATGTTTTCCCTTGCCTCATCGTGAGTGCTTGGAAGGCGACTTGGTCTATGTGTCAGGTGATTTGCCCATGAGAACAGTGCTCATGCGACAGTATTTACATTGTGACAGTGGCACTTTGCTGGGTTTAAAGTTAAACAGTGGTTCACATCGGATATTTATACCTCTTATTAGTTTTTCCTATATGTTTTTATGTTTTTTTCTGTATTTTTACTCTACCTCCTGAAATTAGATATCATATACTGCTTTTTTTTTTTTTATAAACTAGGTAGCATGCCCGTGCGTTGCTACGGGATAGCTAACAATTTGTACTAAAAACACACGGATCGCACGATAACAATACTGTAAAAATTAAATATTAACGTTAAAATAACATTTAATCCAAAAAACAAGAGTTTGCCTGGCATACATCAGCGTTGGTGTGTCTTTACACCACTCTTCAACAGGTCTAGAGTCAATCATGATAAACATCTTCTCCCGCTGATCGAAAACATAAAACATATATTTTCGAGGAGAGAGCCATGATAAAAAAAACTACAAACATGGTAGCGATTAAAATAGTATATAGAAAACAAGTAATAAAAACAGAAGCAAGCGACTTAAGTAATTTGTAATACCTCCTAGGCTTGAGCCCATCAAATACCATCTCCCAAGCTGCTCACAGCTGGCTGTGGGAGTCCACCGAAGGCTGTTGGAGCCCACTGCACCCATAGGGCGTGTTTAGAACCGATTAAAAACAAATTTTGGATTAAAATAATCAAGAATTCCACCAAAGCATAGCACGAACGGCGCTGACACACACACCTACTCCAAGGCCTACTTCCGACCCAACATCCACCTCGAGGATATCAACGCCTTGCCTCCGCGATGACTGTGCGACAAGCCCACAACTGCCTATCATGAGGTCTCCTCCCTACACTCTGGCCCATGAGCAAGAGGGTAGCCTGTCAGCAAGAGGGAGTGAGGAAGAGGCAGCCTCTGAACAAGAGTGAGAGCAAGGAAGAGGGAGGCAGGAGAGATCCTCATCACCTCGGGTTGACAATTCCTTGCACCATCAGGTCTCACACAGAATTGATTTTCTATTTCCCCCCTAATCTTGTATTCACCTACCGGAAGTAGAGACAAATTGGTAATAGATAGGATTATAACTCGCATGCAGAGATTACCCAATGGAAAATGATTCAAACAATAAAAAGATGCATCATGTGCTCTGATCAGGAGCTGTTCACTATCTGACAATGGTTTATGCATGTTACTGCATTGTTGTACAACTCAAGAAGCAACTATATAAACAATATTATGGAAAAATATTTTGTTAGGCTGAATAATAGTGGGAAATTGACATTAACTACACCTCCAAACCTGCACACTTGCCTCAATGTCGACCGTTGTCAATGATGCTTAGCTTCGACCAATTCAGACTAATTGGACTTGGACATGCATAACTTGTACCAATTGGACATGCTTAATTCTACCAGTTTAGAGCACGGATACTTGTAGGTTCTCCATCACAAAATCAAAGCACACTTCTGCATTATTTTTCAAGATCAAATGCAACCAAACATACTAAAATCAGGCCCAACATTGGGATAGAGTACCTTAATTGATGCTAGAAGAAGATCTCTAATCGTAAGCAGAATAACGTTGAGGGACGCTGCTGATACCACCAATCCATTTCTCGTGGGTGGAAGAATGGCTATTTACAGCATAAGCATAACGGCTCACCCAGTGCTGCATGCCTCGCTCAGCATTGAAATTTATAATAGTGTAAACAAACCTAAGGTACTAATTTTCTCAAACGTGCATTAGCACGGTATTCATTAAGCAGGAGTAGAAAGTTCAAAGAAAAATACAAGCTGAAGCAGCAGTAATCAACTGATTACTGAGGCTTCACAGGTACTAATGTACTACCTCCGTTCTTAATTGTTTAACAATGGTTATTTCAAAACTAAGATAATGAAAGGCAATTTCCTATTTATTCAAAATTGAATTTTAGAAAGGCAAGAGGTAGAAAAAAATATAAGCAAAAGATAAGTAAACTGGGTTGACCATGAAACTATAAGCAAAACTACTTTCTTTGAGCAGGTAACACACCATGGTCCTATCACATGTGTCATGAAATACAATACAAATTGGAGCGTTTATTCTATTTTCCGAACCACTTGTGTGCATAGTTACCACCTTTCAGCATACTTCAATAGGTTCAGTTTGAAAACAAAATAACATGTCATGTGCAAGGTTCTCTAGTATGTCTATTTGTTCAGATAAAAAATGTCAGCTATTTTCTTGTGCTGTTGATCTTACAACGATTGTTTCATGTATTTATTTTACTGCCTAGGCATCATTGACTGAACCGCAGACAGATAACAAAAATTGAACAGAAATTCCACTTCAATGGCATCTGTGAAGGATCAAGTAATGAAATAATTCTAATATACCTGTGCTTGATATGCAATGAAGGAATTCTAATAAACTTTTTTTTCATCCCAAGCACCATTTCAGTTCTTCAACAAGTTGATCATGGTCCATTGTTTCTGGCTTGATTTCCTTTGGGTTAGAACTCCTATAATTGCCTTGTTGACTGTACACTCTGGTCATTGGCACAACACATTAAGTCTTCAATCCCATATATCTAAAATTTAGTCCTAAACAGTTAGCAGACAATTATTCAGTTGTAAACTTACTCAAGTCTCTCTCGCCAGAGATGCAGCAACACATTAAAGTAACTGGCCAGCTGCTCGTCCTCGGGTGCCGTAGGAGCCACAACAGTCCTACAGATATCAGCGCAGCAAATAAGGGTGAAATCACAAGAACTCACGCATCCAGCAAACGAACGGACGCCTCACCTCGGTACAGCGTGGCCGCCTCGTTGCGAGAGACGGAGACCACTGTAGTCCATTTGCTGGATGGGCAACCGCTGCAAATGAATGAATATCTCACCTAGCTATAGCGTGGCATGATCCTGTGGCGGCGGCTTGGCTGGGTCGAATGATGGGCGATGGCGGCGTAGATCGGGGATGGGCAGGGAGGTCGCGGTTGCGTGGTCATCGTGGATTCCGGTGGCGTGGTCATCGTGGAACCCGGTGGCTCAGCCGTCGTGGGCACGTGGGCCCAGCCGCTGTGGGGCGTGGCGGCTGCGCCGCGTGTGCGGCGGCGCAGGGTGGGGCGAGCGATAGGGCGCGCGGGGCAGGCAGCCGGGCGAGCTTGCGTGCGATGAAGCATCGGGCTGGGATCGTCGCACAGCTGTCGATAGAGAGGAGCAGGCAGACCCGGCGTCCGGTGGAGACGAGGCGCGGTGACGGGCACGGGTGCTCGGCGGTGTCGGGGCAAGGGCATGGCGAGGTTCCGGTGCCGGTGAAGGCGCGAGGGTGCGGCAGCGTGGGCTAGCGCAGGAAGGGAAGGAGCACGGGTTGCGGTGATTGCACGTCGTGGGCGAGCGGCAGGCGAGGGTGCAGTGATTCCTTTCCTCTCGGGCTGCGGTTATTGCGTGGTGAACAGCGATGGTGGCATTTGCGCGAGCTTTCCTTTTGCGTGCTTGCGTGATCGCGGGCTGATCGCGGGATGGCACCCCGAGGCAGAGCAATGACCCCCGCGATCGAGGGATCGCACCGTGAGGGAGAACGACGACCCCAACAACTGTCGCACCATTCCGTTGTCTTAGTTTTGTTCTTTATAGTGGTAGGATATGTACTACAATTTTTGAAATTTAAAACAGAGGTCACGGATGCTATATATGGTTGTGCATGTAGAGTGATTTAAATAAATTAGGAAAAAATCCAGTCTTTCGGCTGGTCTAATCTATCCATTAATAAGGTTTGTCTTCTTTATTTCTCCACGTCAAGTTGAGTTTTAAGTTCAAATTTTATACAGTGGTCCGAAAATGTCCTAAATTATGTTAGAAAATAGATTATGCAATTTTCATTATTGTTTTTGTAGTGTTAGTTTATTTTTAGATGCCTAAGGTATAAAAATTCATAATGTATAACACAATTTATGAAGTTCTTTATAGCCCTACAAAATTGAACTTAAAAACTCAACATATATTTGGAGAAACAAAAAAACAATCTTATAGTGGGATAGAATGGACCAACTAAAAGATTTGGAGGAGTAAATTCAACACAAAATTGGTTTAGGGGTTTATCCAGTCAGTGTTCTGTGAGGGAGGAGTCTATTGGACTTTTTCCTTTAAATTAAAAGCAACTAGGGCGCGCTATAGGTGTTGTGCAAGGAGGCAACATCATCATAACCGCTCACCTGCTTGCCCTATTATATCAGGGCCAATATTACACTGACAAGAAGGAAACTTATCCTGTTGAAAGGAATTTTGATGTCACTTAGAAATGGGTTGAGCATGCAGTCGTTTCATGAAAATTGAAGCTTGTAGTGGAATTAAATACAAAACGGTCTGCCAACTTACCGGATGGTCCGACACCGGCCTTATCAGATGCTCTCGCACTAGAAGGCACGAATGTCAATCTTGGCAAGGTCCTTGATGATTCAATAATAATAGGGAATTTGCATGGTTTGAACTAGATTAGATAGATTGATGACTTTACTCAATTCCACTTGAACCAAAGGTTGAGAAAAGATATTAATTGACCTTCCACGGTATCAACTACACCAAGAATTTCACAACATGGTAGATAATTTGAAATCCCAAGAGTCGGTGAGCACAAGTTCAATGTCAAATAAACCCAAGTAACATGGGTGTTTTGTTTATCGAATTTCACTGCCACAAAGGAAGCTACATCTATGTTGAGGACTCACAAAGTGTCAGGTCTCTTTGAACATTATAC